TATCCGCTCAAGCTCTGATATTAGACATATTTTGTGAATAAGTGGAGTTTGGATTCTCGTTTGCCATAAATGGTTGCAAATTTATAAAAGTTTTTTTTTTGTGAAGGCTGCAAAGTTTGTTGCAGCTGCTGTGCACAGGGTATCTGCTAGTCGTGCACTTGGCTTACTCCCTCATTGGTTTTTTTTTTGGGTGGGGAGGGGGGTGCAGGTTGGGTTTTGTTCCAGATCAAAACGCAGCTTCTTGGCCACTTGCTTTTGAACGTTCATTCGCCGCGTTTTGTTTTATATTTACTTTTTTTTTCCTGGCAGTTTTTTATTTAGCTTTTTTTCTGCTCTTGGCTTACAAAGATGCTTTTAAATGATTAAACGCTGTGATTTCTTATGCTGCCTGGGTCGGCACTTTATATATACATGTATATATATATATATATATATATGTATGTATGTTTAGATATTTTTTATTACATTCTGTTCGCCTTTTTCTGTTCTTTTGCTGAGATTTCATATGGGTGACATTTCGAGCCCCTCGCGCTGATTCACTTTTGCGAGCTACCAAATCGACGTGATTATGATCAGCATCATAATTACGAACGTTATTGTGAATGTGTTAATAAGCACGTCTGCATATTTTTATGCGGCCATTTAACAAATCGATAGATTTGCCTTTGAATGGCTGCGATAAATCGCAAAAGCTTTTATATAAACATTCACGACAAATTCGACTGCGAAAATGAATTTTAAAAACGAATTTAACGCTTTGCCTACAAGACCGCAAAGGGCTTTCAAAGAAAACAAAACGTGTGCTAATTAGAATGCTCGACTAAGAGTCTGAAGTCTGACTAGCATGGCAAGCGTTCGACTAGAAGATACCCTGTAGCAAGGCTTGCAGCACTCTCTCTCTCTCTCTCTCACTCTCTCACTCTCATATCAATAACACTTCCTAGACACAGGGTTTAACAAACAGAAGGCAGGAGGCACAGAGAGAGGCGAGAGGGGTAGAGAGCGAAAAGCGCTTTCAGTTAGCGCTTATTTAATGGATTCTTGTCATTTTCAATTTAGCTCGATTCGTGTCTCAATCAACCTAGAGCGTTACCTTAGCACAAACAAAAATGTATGTCTTAGTCACTCGACTTGGAATTGGATTTGTGTCGACTATTTTTAAGCTGACTTTGACTTTAAGATTTGTCCTTTAATAAGGAAGAATAAAACGAATATCTGGAATATGAAAATTACTTACAAATAAATACGTAAATATATATGTATATATAGCAAATATATACATTTATTTTTGTTATTTGGTTTTAATGAATTTCATGAACTTTTCCCGAATTGCTGTCAATTCGTTGGCAATTCGCAGAGCTTCTTCCAATTGAACTCAATTAGCAATTGATTTACAGCTGGTAAATATGAAAATTGAAACTTGGCTCGCTTCACGCGTTAAGTCAATGGCTTTCTGATAAACAACTCAAATTTCTGTGTTCAGTTTCAAGTTTCCGGCGAATATTTTGCTTGTCATTCGATGCGACATTGACATTTATTTCATTTCAACGGTCGCAGATGCGTTGCCAACTCGATGACAAACCTATTATGCCATCAAATAGAAAATACTAAGCAATGAAAGGGCCTACGAGTGCCGCAGAGCGATCACTGCACGACTCGAAGATACTCTGCAACTGGCTACGAATTGTGCTCAAGAAATAGTTCGACATTCAAATGTGTTTTCATCAAGATCATATCGCAATTTGAGCTTAAGCCCGAAGAAAACGGGTTAGGCATAAGTTGTCTTAGTTTTCTGAGCGTCGAGCCAGCAAGCGGCAAGTCAGCGGTTCTAAGCCAGCAGCGAATGCTGAGACGCACGCATTTGCAACACTATACATTTTTGTATTTCCTTTTCATTCTTTGAGATTTTGCTAACAACTTTAATATACCCTTTGCTCAAACCAGTTTAATTAGTTACAGGGTATAAATCTAACAATAACAACAATATCAAATGGTTTGGTCAAGTGTCTAACAATGAAATGGCTAAAAAAAAATGGTAGAAAGCCAGCTACAATTGCTAAAAGATGAACGTGCGGAGGGTGAAGCGGCAGAAGGGAAAAGGGAGAAGATGACGAAACCGTTTTGTGGCTAGCGAAGCGTGGCACCAACTTTGGAGCAACAAGCAATTTGTCCAGCCTTATTCCAGTCGAAATTCTAGGCTTAAATCAAAGCAAGAGAATGCCCTCTCTCACTCTCTCTCTCTCTCTCTCTTATGCTCCCTGCCCCTGCCCCTCCCCCTCCCGCAACCGTCTTACAAGCGCTCTCAGCAGCTGTGAGCGAGAATTGATTGAAAAATGATTTGACTATACTTTATCCGCCTAGTTTTGTCGCACAAAAGCCTTTCAAAGCTGACTCAACTAATGTCAACTGCAACTATGAAATATGCAGAGCCCCCCCGCCCCCCTCTCGCACTCCACCATGCCCCCTAACGCATTCAGCCAACTGCCAAGTCGGTCGATTAATTTTCCATATTTTCCAATTGACAAGCCGCTTCATAATTGAGCGCAAACGTTGGCAAAACGAAATAAAGCCAAGCCTTGAAATGAAATTTTAGACATCTTTAGATTTCTACCAATAGCAAAGACTCTCAATATCTTCTATATAGACAATTAATTGCCCTTTCTTGCTCGCTAGCTATCCATTTTTGTTTTTAATTCATGCACAGCAACATTTGCTGGTTCAGAAATGGTTCAAAAGTAGAACAAAAGTGGTTCGAAAAACGTTCTCCAAAGTTGCTCGAAAAGAAGTTGAAGTTATGTAAGTAAAATCGAATAAGCAGGCTAGAGTATTGTTGGGTTATCTGTCTATCGATTCACTTAATTGCAAATCACTGCCACTAGCTGATGCCCCATTTGTGGTTAGGGTATTTAATTTTTCATAAATAGAACAATATTTCGTTTGTCGTTCGGCGGAAGAAGAAACAAAAGCGGAAAAGCAGTTAAATTGCAGCTGAAATTTTGCTGAGTAGAGGGCAGAGTGGGCAGGGGGCAGGTAGGGGGCGGCCTGGGTTTCCTATTAGAGGATGGGTGGGTGTGGGTGGCAAACACAATTATGTCGATTTCCGAGAAGGCCGAGAGAAAGAAACCAAAAACAATCAAACTGTAGCCCAAGCAGCATTTGACTATGAATAAATGAATATTTGATCCGGAATAGTTAAATTTATTTCTAATCTCATATAATTAACAATAAGTTAAGAAAATGAAGGTGTTAGAATGCCTGCTATAGAGAACTTGGAGAAGAAAATAAGCCCGACGCGAGCTATAAGCACATCGGATGAGATCAGATATGGACCATAAAGGAATATAGAATATTTAATCGAGTCGAAACTGGCGAATTTTCTACTTAAAAGTTCGTAGAGGGATATTAAAAATATATATTGCTCAAAATCTTGAGTTTTTGTTTCTTGAAAGAACTCCGAATCTTATCATTTGTATACCCTTGCAAAGGATATTTTTTAATTATGCCATGCAATGTGTAACGAAGCACTATATCATATAGCTACCATAGGAACGATCAGTCGGAAAGTAGCTTCTTGTATGGAAAACTTGTAGTTTCTCAAGATATCTTAAGCATACTTGGCATCGAAGTTTTTCCCTGTTCCCTGCTCAAAGCGTTGTGAGCACGACGAATAGGTTCGGCCTGCAAGGGTATTAAATCTTCGGCGTCCCTTCCCTCTGTCCTATAGCCCGTTTTATTTGATATAACTTTTAACAATTTCATACATATTTATAATAACTTATTATTACCTAAAATTGTTAATTTTATACGTTTTATAATAAAAAAAAAAATGTCAAACTAAAAAAATAAATAACTTAATTATATTTTGCCTCTCTTTTGCTCTCAGAATGCATTTGGGCAAATGACAACATTTGTTCAATTTCAGTTTTTTCTTGCTCTTCTCTTATTCGGCCACACACACACACACACACACACACACATACATACACGCAAAGAGAGAAAGATAAGAGAAAACAGTTAGACGCTTCGATTTTAATATTCCGCCCACACTTTATGTCAGAATTATCTCAGATTTATTCGACAAATTGGCAGCATTTGCTAACTGTAATGTAATGTAAACACGGAATGCCAATCGATTTGACTTTATTTTATTTTTTTTTTTTTTTTTTCAAATCTGATGAGCTGCAAAAATGCACAGCATTGAAAATGTTGAACAGAAACCAAAACCCAAAACCGACAATAAAACAAAATTGATTGTTTTTTTTTTTTTTTTTTGTTTGCTGCAGCACTTAAAACGCGGCGACTCATTAAAAGTAAACCCCAATCCCCAATTGCAGCGTTCCCCATGCCCAAAGCACGCACGCACACACACACACAGACAGACAGCAGGCACTTAACAATGTCAAACGTTTGCCAGCCCCGCCCCGTGCGCCAGCTGTGACCCCTTCGCCTGACACAGAGCGCCATTAAAATGTCATGCACTTGGCGCGGCTAAAAACTAAAACTAAAACCAATTTTCCAATGCAGCTCGCAACTGCAAAACTGCCAAAAAAAATAGCCAAAAATAAAGAATAACATGCAGTGCGGGCGAGACAGAGAGGGCATGAGTTTTATTAGCCTGACGCTCAATTACAGCACATACAAAATAGTTGTCGTTGTTGTTGTTGTTGTTGGGTTGTGCAGCAAAAACCACGAAACTGCACAACAACAAACAACGGTAATGACATATTATAATGAGAAAATGATAAAACCGAGGCTTAGGCTAAACTGATCGCACAAACACACACACACACACACACGCGCAGCTTGCGAGTAGGAGTAGCAGAGAGCGAGAGAGTGAACAGGAGCGCAAGTGAGAGCAAAAGTCGAGAGCACAGACATAGACACAGGCACCCAGGTACCTAGCTGCGTTTTAGTTGTTGTTGTTGTTGCTGTTGTTGTTCTGCCTATGCCCACGCAACAAAAACAACATTAACAGTTAGAAATTGCATTTCGTTTGTTACCTTTTGCCTGCGCGTGTTGTTTCCTTTTTCGTTGCTTGTTGTTGTTCGTCTCAACTTCTTTTCTAGTTTTATAATTTACAGCTTCTGTTTGTGTTTTTTTTTCTTCTTTCTTTCTTTCTTTATTTCGTGTTATTCACAGCTTTTGCATATGTTGTATTTGCATTTGACTCTTTCTTCAAATTTCTATTTTTATTTCTTTTCTTACTATTTTGATTGGACTTTTGATTTGTTGCACCTTATTCTTTTATGAATTTTTTTATAGCACTTAGAATTTTATTTTTGGAACACACACCAGAAAAAAATATTGGATGTTTGCAATTTGTTGTTAGGCGAACGCGTACCGTCCCGATCTTCCGAACTCCCCCCGGATCCTGAGAGGTGCGTAGTTGTGCCTGCCGCTTAGCGTGGGAGTCAACGCGCGCACACACACACACACACACACACACACACGCACGTATGCACTCACACAGCACACACACAACCACACACGCACACACTCACGACGGTCCCAAAATGCGTTAATAAATAAAATAATGTGGTATGTTGGTAAAAAAAAATAACAACAACAGCAACAAGAACAACAAAGGCGTCGCGAACGATTGGCAGAATAACCGGTTTACATTTACACGGGGCAGCGTCTGGGCGACCGGCATTAACAATTGCATCGAATTCGTTTCGTTTCAGCAAGCGTTCAAAAACTCTTAATAAATTCCAAGCGTACCGTCCGTTGCACGACCGCCTCGTTCGGCTTTGTTTTTGCTTCTGTTCATGTTAATCTAACAGCGCATGTAGTTGACTTGTCGACGCTGTAACACTCCTGTTACCGCCATGCAAAGTGTGGCGTTCGAACATGGTGCGTCTGTTAACACGCTGTTATAGTCACAGAGCGCAACAGCGCTGTAGCACACGTTTGAGTTGCGTGTGGAACGTGTGTGGAACTCGAACCTGACAGTAAACCAATTGTAAATGCACATAAAAAAATACAAGAAAAGGCAGCTGGACATTTATAATGAAATATGTTTTTTTTTTTAAATTAAACAATATTTGTTTAACTAAAGCATAACACAAGAAGAGAATCTATGCGAAATTTACGCTAGCGAGCAACAGAGTTGCAGTTGAAGGGAGTTCGAGTTGAATGTGGGCGCCAGGCGAGGCTAAAGGAAAGACTGAACCGGTTCAACAGGATGCAGCTCGCTAGAGCGAGACAGAGAAAGAGCAAGAAAGAAAGAGAGAGAGAGAGGGAGAGAGAGAGATAGCAATAGGAGAGCAGAGTGAGCGAGCGAGAGTTTGGAGGCTGCAAAACATGCTACCAAAACAAAAGACGAAAATGTTGCAACAACAACAACAACAACAACAACAACGACAATAGCAAAGAGTTCTTTTTTAATTTTTATTCGGGTTTTCGCCGTGAAGTAACCGGACAACAATTTTTGCTCTGCTCTAGCTAAGCGAAAATGGCAACGCTGCTGGAAAAACCGGTTCGCAGCAAAGGAATGCACAAAATACCAACAACAACAACAACAACAACTATCAGCAGCAACAACAGCAGCAGCAGCAACAGCAGCAGCAACAGCAGCTTGCAATGCATTGCAATGAACTAAACCAAAAACGGGCAAACAAACAAACAAAAATCAAAAGAGTTTGCAAACTTGCAACTGGAAGTGGCAACTGGAAGTGGCAAAGGCTATGCGAGCTGGAAGCTGGACGCGGGCAACTAACTAGCGCTGGGCAGTTGCTGCCGCTGCCGCTGCCGCTGCCTCTGCTGCTGCTGCTGCTGGCTAAATGACATAAATCTGCGTGGCAAACAAAAGACTTAAGCAACGAACGTGGCGCAGCATGTTGGCCAGGCTTGCAACTGGATTACTGTTACACGGCCAGGCTAAGTGGCTGGCAACTGTTGACCATAACGGTACACAAAGGTTCCACTGGGAACGGGCACAGCTACGCCCAATGCCACATAGTCCATGCCCATGCTGATAATTTTATCCCCACAATTGAAAACTATTCGATAAATGAATTCAAGAATTTTGAATCATATTGTTCACGTACATATAGGTAGCTGGCATTACCCGGCCTTGCACGATCCTAGTTTTTTGCTTTGCGCCCACATCATTTGGAACTCCACCTGACAAATAAATTGTTAATTAAATTTTGATATTCAGTTTGAGACCCATCGGATGGTAAGCAAAAAGGTTTTATTCAAACGTTTTTCGTGATTTTTCCACGCTTGCGGGTGGAATTGTTCAAAACTCCGCCTAAGCGTACATCACATAGATTAGATTAGATTAGATAGATAGTCAATCAATCAGGCAATCAATCAGGCAATCAATTAGTTAGTCAATCAGTCACTCAATCAGCCAGACAATCATTCAGATAGGCAGTTAGGCAGACAATCAATCAATCAATTTGTCAGACAGACACTCACTCTGTCAAACATTCAATCACATAGATTAGATTAGATTAGATAGATAGTCAATCAATCAGTCAATCAAGCAATCAATCAGCCAATCAGTTAGTTAGTCAATCAGTCACTCAATCAGCCAGACAATCATTCAGACAGCCATGTAGGCATTCAATCAATCAATCAATCAGTCAGACAGACACTCAGTCTGTCAAACATTCAATCAGTCAATTAGTCAATCACTCAATCAGCTAGTCATTCACTCAATGAGTCACACTATAAGTTAGCCAGTCAATCAGTCAGTAGAGCTAGCTAGTCAGCCACACAAGCAATCATTCAGTCAATCAATTAATAAGTGAGTCATTCAGTTCCTCAGTACGTCAATCAATCAGTCATTCAATCAGCCAGTCAGTCCATTACGTATCCCGTCATAGTTTTCAATTTAAACGTGGGAATAGAATCTATAGAGCACTTCAATCAAATGCAGCTGATTGAACGTTTGCTTTAATATCATTGTTAATCTATGAATATTCACTATTAAATATGCCTACCATATATACACTATATGTATATGTCAAATGCCTATTATAAATTGGCTTTAAGCATATCAGTTGATCGGCCATGAGATTTGCCTCTTGCTATTTAACAAAAAAAAATTATGCCCACAGATCTGTCGAGCTGTTCTTTTTGTTCTTTCCGTTGTTGTCTTGTCGCATTTCAGTTTTCGGGCGAACTCTGAACTTTTTTGTCTTCGCCCAGCGACTGGGCTGCCAAGCTTGGGTTTCGCATTGTGATTGTTGTTGCTGGCGATTAGAAACCGCACACGGCCAGCAAAAATCTGACCCAAAAAAAAAAATAAAATAATAAAGAACAAAATGTGAGGCAAACCAAAAAAAAAAAAAACACAAAAATAAATGAACAATTTTCTGGGGTGCTGCGAAAATTATGCAAAGCGCAGACAAATGCGCAAATTTGAAAAATGCCACCAGCAACAATAAAAGAGCAACAACAACAACAACAAGCAGCAGCTGCACTCGCACAGCAACTCTGCCCCCCCTTTGGCACTCCCCGCTCCACGCTGTGCACCATCCACAAAGTGCGGGCGTTACGTGAAACTTAGCCACAAATCAACTGGCGTCCAAAAGTCATTGAAAAAGCAACAAACTATATCAAAAGCTGGTACTTATTGTGATAGACTTGAGCATACCCTAAAGTTCATTACAGGGTATATGTTGCGTGATATGAATCGGTCTTTCTCTCACTCTCCCTCTTTCACTCTCTCTTTTTGGTTTTTGATCATTCAGCGCTTACTCTCCGAAGAGCGCACATTTTCTGCTATTTCTTTTGTGCTATCATTCTTAAACGATTTCTGGCAGTTACATTTGCTGCATTAGAGACCAGTTGCTCTCTCACATTCTTGCCCTCTCTCCCTCCCGACTCTCTCTCTCTCGCACTCTTTGCAACGCATCTGTTAGCTTTCATCTGCTTTGTGCCCGCATTCTTAAACGTTTCATATGCGCTACCACAAAATACAATGCCAAGCTGGGCATTCAGCAACCGCTTTTATTTTAAACTCAACCATTTATGCCATTATCTCGTGTAAGCACTTAAGCCTGTAGGGCTTTCCATACGGCCTGATTGACATTCATAATAGTTGATGTTAAATTTATGACAATCGATTTGGTTAAATGTCACACGCATTGGCTAATAGCTGATATGCTTGGCCCAGCACTTTTGGCCAGTTTGATGAAGTCAGCGCGAGGCCGACAAGAAGAAACAAAAATTGCGGCCGTAAACAAATCGAAATGCGGCCGGCGCTCAACTTGCTAATGGGCTAACTCGGTGCGGGCGGCCCGACAAAAAAGGGCGTTGCTGTTGTTGTTGTTGTTGCCATTGTTGTTGTTGTTGTTGTTGTTGCTGCTGTTAAACAAATATTACTCACTGGTCCGGGTCTGGCCTGTCTTGGCCCGACTTGGACTGGCCTGGGCTGGCCCGGTCATGTTGTACAGCATTGCTAACACCCAAGAACAACGTGACGACGGCCGAAACCAAACCAAACCAAACCAAACCAAACGAAACGAAACGAAACGAACCAAAAACCGAAAGCCAGCTCAAAAAACGCGTCGAAAACGCAGCCGCAGCCGTTGACTGATTGTCACGGCACGATAATGAAATAACTTGTTATACCCTATTGACAGCACAGCAAGACGGGTATATTGATTGTGTGCAAGCTTCGACTTGCTTGATCATTCACAGCGGCTCACTGTTTTTGTCTGTGCCACAGTTTTAGACCAACCGCCTGCAATCCACAGTCTGAGCGCCACAGTTTCCGAGTCACCGTTTACAGTTTGAAAGTCACAAGCCAGACCAGTTTGAAAGTCACAAGCCAGACCGAATAAAACACAGTTGCTGAGACACTGATTTGCTGGAATTGTAAATTACGCGTGAGCGCCACAGTTTTAGAGTTACAGATTTCTAGTAGCATTTTGAAGTTGAAAAGCCAGCGCTGGAGAGCCACAGTTTTAGAATAACAGCTAAAGAGAAGCACAGTTACAACGTCTTAATATCGCATTTGCGAAGAAACAGTTTTAGAGAAACTGATTTGGAATATTTGTGAGTCACAGTCAAAGTTTTAGAGTCACAGCTGAAGAGTTATAGTTGTTACAGTTTTGTGGACACTGTACGACAGTTTGAAAGTCACCAAATTTACAGTTGTTGCTCGCTTAACATGAGCTTCAAAAAAAAAAAAAAAAAAACAGAGTATTTGTCAGTTGGAAGACTTCTACCATTTAAGTTTTCGTGGTACCAAGTTTCATTTTGAAAGGAAAAAAATGAAGTATTGGACAGAGGGGGAGTTGTATATGGAAGGTGCATATGCGAGTATTTGTGGCATAGTTTTTTTTTTTTTTTTTTTTGTATTCTGTATTTATTGTTGTTGCAGTCGCTGCTGTTGTTGCTGTTATTGTGGCGGCTGCATTGAAACGTGCAACAACGCGCCGCATTCCTTTTGTCAAACGACTCCAAAGCAGCGACTGCGATCGGACTGCGATTCGACGACTGCGGCTGCTGCTGCTCTCTGGGATCTTTAGAA